CAGGAGCTTCCGATACCATCGATGCCGATGAAGTCGAAGGAGCGGGGGAAAGCTCTGCATCCATCTGATGACTTAGGAGCTCCGCCGTGTCGATGTCAGAGTAAGGAGGCTCCGTTTGGTGGACAGGGGAGTCCAAAACATGGATGGTCGGTATCGGTGGAGGGGCTTGGGCCTCTGATATCGATACTGCCGTTGGAGCGGGAGGCACTATAGGGGCATCACCCAGTGCAGGCACCGCTTCCTTCCCCTTCTTCGCTGTCTTAAGGGACTTGGAGGTGCCCTTCTTCGCGGACCTATGTTCTGTACTTGCCTTATCCTTCTTCTTGATTGGCGGAGAGGCAGACGATCATGTCTTTGATGTCGAGGGCTTCGGTGTCGGGCGGTCGACATCGGAGGCAGGCCTCGGTGATGGAGCTGTCGATGTAGGCGGCCTCTCCTCCATCTCTGAGGTGGGAGCAAGGGCCGATTTGAGCAGTGCCACTTTAAGCGCGATTCTTCCTGGTTTGGTTGGAGAAACACGCACAATGACGGCAGGACTCTGGCTTGTGAGACTCTCCGAGGCAAAAAATGCAGAGGGTGTGACGGTCTGGAGGAGCAAGTTTGCTACCACAGTGTCTGCATCTATTAAAAAATCCCTACTTCTTCTCCATAAAGAAGAGAAATGGAGGGAGCGGTGGTGGGGGTGTGTGTGTGGGGGGGGTAGCCCGAAGGCCTGAGGTAAATTCCCCTCAGAAGAAGAAAAAAGATTTTTAGAGCAAACAACTAAAAATGAACTGAAAACGAAAAAGAAGTTAGAAAATAACTCCTAAGAGCTGTGAGACGAAGCTAATAGCGAAGCTAACAGCGAACCGATCAGACCGAGAAGGAAAAAGGTCTTTCCAACGCAGCGGTAAGAAAGGAACTGGCGGGATGTCCGCGTCCACCCCTCTGGGCACGCGCGGTGGGGTTCCTGCGCATGCCCGAAGGACTGGGCGCGAAAATCCGTTAAAAGAGCTTGCCTCAGCACAGATTGATCCAGCGCGTGCGCACTAGATCCCATTGGTGTGAAGCACAGGGACCACAACAAAGATAAAAGTGGTTTTAATATTTTTTAGTAATTTTCACCAAAGGGTTACATTATATTACATATACTCTCAAATCTAGTTTTTTTTTCTAGAACAAAGTTTCAGTTTGGTGGTACCTGTAAGACCAACAAAGATTAATTCTGGGTATAAGCTTTCATGTTTCTGCACACTTCTTCAGATAAGTTTTCCCCCTACTTACCTCTAGAGGTTGTTGTACAATAGCATCTACCGAATACTACACAGTGGTGCCTCAGCCATGTACCTACTATGTCCTGCAAAGCAGCCCATGCCTCACACTGGGAAAAAATGTTTTTCTGCTACAAATTACTTTCACTTCCCTTTCTGCTCTACATTCTCAGGGTTTTTCAAGCTTACTGTGCATGTATATAAAGTGTCATCAAGCCATAAGCCAACTTTTAGCGACCCCATAGAGGCAAGAGACTAACAAAGGTGGTTAGTCTGTTAGTTGCCTTCCTCTGCATAGCGACCCTGGACATTCCTGGTGGTCTCCCATCCAAATACTAACCAGGGTTGACCCTGCTTAGCTTCCATGATCTGATGAGACTGAGCTTGTCTGGGCTATCCAGGTCAGCTTACTATAGTTGTCTGGGTTCTCCCAGATTAGAGTCCATGCACTTTACCACTATACTACACCATCCAAATTGTCAACTGCCTTGGCAATATATTATGAGCAAGATACAGGACACCCCACTTGACCCAACCCACAGCTATTGGGAACTTGTAACTCCTTGCAATAAGAAGGGCCTCTGTAGTAGGAGAGCAAGTACATATGAACCCACCAACTACCTAGAGGAAAGAGCTGCTAATGGTTTGTGTTTTCTTGTCATAAGAACATAAGAGACGCCAATGTTGGATCAGGCCAAAGGCCCATCCAGTCCAACACTCTGTGTCACACAGTGGCCAGAAATACCAGTGCCATCAGGAGGTCCAGCAGTGGGGCCAGGACATTAGAAGCCCTCCCACTGTTGACCCCCCCCCCAAGCACCAAGAAGACAGAGCATCACTTGCCCCAGAGCCCCTAGCTATACCTTGTGGCTAATAGCCACTGATGGACCTCTGCTCCATATGCTTATCTAATTCCCTTTTGAAGCCGTCCATGCTTGTAGCACCCACCACTTCCTGTGGCAGTGAATTCCATGTGTTAATCACTCTTTGGGTGAAGAAGTACTTCCTTTTATCCGTTCTAACCCGACCGCTCAGCAATTTCATGGAGTGCCCACGGGTTCTTGTATTGTGAGAAAGGGAGAAAAGTACCTCTTTCTCTACCTGCTCTTTCCCATGCATAATCTTATAAACCTCGATCATGTCACCCCTCAGTCGTCTTTTCTCCAAGCTAAAGAGCCCTAAGCGCTTTAACCTTTCCTCATAGGGAAAGTGTTCCAACCCTTTTATCATTCGAGTTGCCCTTTTCTGCACTTTTTCCAAAGCTATAATATCCTTTTTAAGGTGTGGTGCCCAGAACTGCACACAGTATTCCAAATGAGGTCTCACCATTGATTTATATAGGGGCATTATTATATTGGCTGATCTGTTTTCAATACCCTTCCTAATAATCCCCAGCATAGCATTGGCCTTCTTTATTGCAGTCACACACTGTCTCGACATTTTCAGTGAGTTATCTACTACAACTCCAAGATCTCTCTCTTGATCTGTCTCTGCCAGTTCAGACCCCATCAATGTGTATTTATATTTAGGATTTTTGGCTCCAATGTGCATCACCTTGCACTTGGCCACATTGAACCCCATTTGCCATGTTGACGCCCACTCGCCCATCCTTGACAGATCCCCTTGGAGTGCCTCACAATCCTCACTGGTTTTCACCACCCTGAACAACTTTGTATCATCCGCAAATTTAGCCACTTCACTGCTTACTCCCAACTCCAAATCATTAATGAACAAGTTAAAAAGCAGTGGACCAAGTACTGATCCCTGTGGTACCCCACTGCTTACACCCCTCCACTGGGAGAACTGCCCATTTATACTCACTCTCTGTTTTCTATTAATTAGCCAGTTTTTGATCCATAAAAGGACTTGTCCTTTTATCCCATGATTTTTGAGCTTACTTAGGAGCCTTTGATGAGGAACTTTATCAAAAGCTTTCTGGAAGTCAAGGTAAACAATATCTATTGGATCCCCCTTGTCCACATGTTTGTTCACCCCCTCAAAGAACATTAACAGGTTAGTGAGACAAGATCTTCCCTTACAGAAACCGTGCTGAGTCTGCCTCAATAGGTTTTGTTCATCTATGTGCCTACTAATTCTTTCCTTAATAATGGTTTCCACCAATTTACCCGGTATCGACGTCAGACTGACTGGCCTGTAATTTCCCGGATCTCCTCTGGAACCCTTTTTAAAGATGGGAGTGACATTAGCTACCTTCCAGTCCTCAGGAATGGAGGCTGATTTTAAGGAGAGATTACATATTTTTGTCAGGAGATCCACAAGTTCACATTTGAGTTCTTTCAGAACTCTCGGATGTATGCCATCTGGGCCTGGTGATTTATCAGTTTTTAAGTTGTCTATCAGTTTTAGGACCTCCTCTCTCGTCACCTCAATCTGACTCAGGTCTTTCAACACCCCTCCTGAAATCAGTGGTTCTGGAGTGGGCAAGCACTTCTCATCTTCCACAGTGAAGACGGAGGCAAAAAATGCATTTAGCTTCTCAGCCATTTCCCTATCATCCTTCAATACTCCTTTTACCCCTTGGTCGTCCAAGGGCCCCACTGCCTCCCTGGCTGGTTTCCTGCTTCTAATGTATTTGAAGAAAGTTTTATTGTTGGTTTTTACGTTTTTTGCTATATGCTCCTCATATTCCCTTTTTGCCTGCCTGACCACAGACTTGCATTTTATTTGCCATAGCCTGTGTTCCGTTTTATCAGCCTCACTGTGACTAGCTTTCCACTGCTTAAAGGAATCCTTTTTACCTTTTACAGCTTCCATTACTTTGTTTGTTAACCATGCACGCTTTTTCCTATACCTGTTTGTGCCTTTCCTAATAAATGAAGTTTTTTATTCTTTTACAAATTAATACAACAGAAAGCACATAAGCGAATAACACATGCACTAATAACTATAGAGGAGTGTACTCTAGAGGGTTATAGGGGTTGAAAACCCAGCAAAAGTCAGACGGCCGAGTGGATCAAGTGAGGACTTGTTAAGGAACCTGGGGACATAGGTTGCTACACTGGGCTTCTATTCCGTCACATGACCCTGTCCAACAATAACCAGACTTAGGGGCTACAAAACTGCGTTAGAGGAAAGACCACCCGAGAAGAATAAGTATAGTGGGGAGACTTCTTCCACGTCCCTTAGCTGCTCTAACCCCAGACACTCAACATCAGAAAGGCACTGATACCTACACGGTTAACTCGTTCGTAGATTTCATTACAGGAACAACCACCTGTGATAATTTAGGTTCGTGGGGATAATGTCATGTCTCTCCATATAATATATTACCGGTGACCAGAAATTTCTAAATTTCATGTTTAATCCCAGGAGTGGTGACTGTTTCTCTCTACTCAGATCTGCAATTTTGGCCATGACAAATTGATCCCAGAGCTTATCATGCCATACGGTGAGTGTAGGCGGAGTGGGGGACTTCTATACGGCTGCTATTGTTAGCTTAGCCGTTGCTAATAACAGCAACGTGAGCGTCCTCCTTCCTTTCCTAACCTGCGGAATACATTTTTTTTGAGCTTCTAGGTTCGTAGTTTTAAATAGTTTCCAAGGTTCCCCAATAGTTTCGACTTTTTCTACTTTTCCTTTGTTTCCTTCCCACATGTCCCCTCATATCAGAGAAGTTACCCCTTTTAAAGTTAAAAGTGGTTGTTTCAGTCTTTTTGGCCAATTCCCTATTTATACAAACGTTGAACTGAACAACATTATGAAAACAACACCTGACACAGCAGAACTTACCTTGATATTTCTGTAGGTTTCATTGAGAACCATTTTGTTGAATTCTGGATTCTTAAGGGTGTCAAGGAAATTTGAATAGAGGCTGTGGAAGTTCGGCTCAATACTAACTCTCTTCATCACGAGATACTGTGAAACCCAAGGCATGAACTCTTCTTTCACTGTTTCCTTCAGCTCTTCAACCTGCCTCCATAAACACAAGTTAAGGAGAAATTGTGCATCAAAGCATGAGGGAATTCTGTGGCTGATTGGAATAGGCACACTATAGGAACACTAACCCACATTGCTGTGCAATATGGAATTCTGTGGTTTCTAGTAGCTACAGCATGAGACATGCATATTTTTCTTCATTTGGCATAACTATAAAAGGGCATTTTGCCTCAAAGAACCTCATGCACATGCAGATAGGTACCACGCAAGTCAGTCTCACCCTCCACATGCATGAGATTCACTCGGTCCCACAGTTCCATCAGCCACACCACAAGAAGAGAAAGAAAAACCAGAATAGAACTACTTGTGCACTACTTGCCTTCTGAGTCATATTGGATTGAGACAGGTTGTTGAAGATAAAGGCAATCTTCTCCTGTACATTTTCAGGGGGTTCCACAATTCTCTCTGTCTGATCCGTGGCCACCAGCAGGGTATCAATGTTGGTTGTATTAATTGATGGCTGTAAAACAGTAACAAAGATTTACAGAGGATGCAAATGACAATGGAGTTTTTATACAGCACAATCTACACACATGATGCCCTGAACTATGAAGCACATCCCTAGATTACTGGAGGGAGACTAGAGTTATGCAAACACATTTGCATGTCATCACAGCATTGTAAGTTTATGGCAGAAGTCAACTGAAGCCTCAGTACTGGAAGTGCTGGGCAAAAAAAGGGGGATGCAAAACCACTGCAGAACGCAGGGTGGTTTGAAAGCGGGCTGACTACTAAACATGTTGTTCCTTACGGTGGGAAAGCAATTTATTTAGATAGTGTGGTTTAGCAAATGGACTAAACAGGACTGGGAAGATGCAGACTCAAATCCCCTTACTATGAAACAACGCTTGATGAAGTTCATTGGCTGACTTTGCACTAGTCAATCTCTTACTCCACCTTACCTTCCAGGACTGTCATGAAGATAAAAACAGAGAAGAAAATCATGTATAATCAGCTCAATGAAAGGAAGGAATAAAGAATATACTAGATGGGCAGGTACTGAGTTTTTGAGATGCTCTTCCTATTGTGGCAGAAAGAGACAGAATATTGTCCACAAGGAGTGATCCTCTCCTTTCCAGAATACAGCAGCTAATGTAAATAAAATGAACTATGCTAGATGTAAACTGTAGGCACTGGGCACCAAGGAGGGAAAGAAAAAGTCTCGAGACCTGTGAAAGGTTGTACCACCTGAAGGATAAATGCAGCATTTGTGCCAAGGAGTTTCAACACAATGAAAAATGCAGCTGCTTTTGTTAACAAGAAGGAATGCAATGACCAAAACTGCAGATCTTAAGCAAAAGTTCCATTAAGCGAATGCACTTGTTCTAAGCAGTACTCAGATGTTAATGGTGGATCGTCTGTATGACTGTGCGCTTGGGCTTATACATTCAAGCATGTTCATCACACTCTCTCCCACCCCCACTGGTACAGACTACGTACTCACCGGCACATCCTTCTTGAAGCTGACTCGGCCCACTGGAGTGATTGTGGTCTTGGCCACAGTAGTGGTTGTGGTGGATGTGGTTACTATAGTGCTAACTTGACCAGCAAGAGGAGTTTTTGCTGGAGCCTGAGCCTGGGCCTGAGCTTGGGCAAGTGCAATACTTCCAGGGGTGGTGATTGAACCCTGCATCTTCACAGGAGGATCTCTTGATTGCTGTCCATATTCAATGTACTGAGAGAGACAAAAGTATAATGCTCTGAAAACTCACATGCAATCAAAGGAATGTTAACAGATCTACTACTTTCAGTATTACAGCCATCTGACATCCCTGTTTCTGAAGCTCTCAAATAACTGCCCAGAAGTTGCATATAAAGAGGTGCAACATCACCTAAAAGGATGTTGCTGTGTTCTTGTCATAAACAGAGCTGGGTGATGCAGCAAGCAAGCTTTGTAGCCCATGGTCTACATCTTTATTGTCCTGTTCCTACCCCCAGAATTTTTCATACTGCATGAAGATGAACAGGTACAAGAATGAGAGGAAATGTGTAGCCTGCTATTGTAAAAGGGGAGAGTTTTCCAAGATTTCAGTAGGAGTAGAAAATAATGAAAACGTGGTTCAATGGAAGAACAAAGGCCATTACCAAGTTATGAACAGTATTTTGGATAATGACAATGAAGTTTCAGCAACCACTAAAAAGATAAAAACCCTCTCCCATTGGTGATACAAGAGTGTTGAAACACATGGAGAAGCCCAACTAGAGCACTTTCCTTTCTGAACTAAAAGTGATAAGACCTTCTATTAGCATGTAAATATTTAGTTATTACAAATAAGTATATAAATCCCTACTCAATAGAATCTTGCTTAATGCACAGACCCTAAAGTCAACATTGCTTTTAGTGTTTGGACTACAGCATTTACATCAGATTTTCTAGATCCTAATTCCACTGTCCCTTGTTTGATTGCTTTTGAAAGATCTGGGCAGACAGGCTGCTGTGCCTAGGAAAGCCTATTCACATACAAGGCCATAAAAATAAAAGCTGCATTGCAAGTATTAAAAGAAATGGTCAAATACAAACTTCCAGTGGCAAAGGGCTACGGGTTTTCTATAAACAGAGGTTCACACAGAACTTGTACGGGTCCTTCACTGAGTGGACAGTGATGGGAAGTTGAGGCACTTCAATGGACACAGACACCTAACATTGCAGTTCTCCTCTCTCCCCTCCCTGGCACCACCTCCTCCCCTTTCTAGTTCACTTTCCATGACTTTTTAAACACTCACCTCCTGCAGGTGATGAGGGAACTGTATAAAGTGACTAATAGAAGCCAAGTGCTGACAATACTGGGGATAGTCCTTCAATCTGTCAACAGCAAAACTATCCATTAGTAAAAGAAAAACGAAATAAACATCCTGAATCAAGATCCACCACAACAAAATACTGGTTAATCTACTGCACCTACTGGGGATTTGGAGCTTTGTCTATAGTAACGATGATGCAATTACTGGCTATGCATTTGCTGTATGGAATTATCTTGACCCACCAAAAAAACAAAAATCTACCCTGAGTCCGATCCACTGGCACTGTGGCTATGGACACCCATTGTTTGTTTCAAAGGAAACCCCACATGAAAGCAATACTGAAATAGAGGCTGTACAACAGGACTTAAACACACATACAGATTTCCACTACAGGTAGCCCAGTTCTACCTATGTAACACACAATCAATTTTCTTTAACTGGGTCCAGTTCTCATGGTTGCTAAGCAAACATTTGAACCCTTTCACAGGGCTGGCAGACAGACATGCTCCATGCAGGCTGCTACTGTTCCCCTGACCTCAAGCAAGACTGTTTCTTAGTCCTGTGCACTTCTTTTAACCTTCCTGTTTCCTCCTCCTCCATCCCAGCCTGCAAAACATTTATGCAAAGCATTCTGTGCATTAGGACCAGTGTACACTCAGAATCCACTCAGCAGAATTTAGACATACAGCCAGATTCTAGATCCAGGTTTATGTTGAAAATATGACAAACACAGCCCGATTTTAGGACCCTCCATCAGTATTGAACTTCTGCTGTTAGGCTGCTGCATATACTCTGCAGATGGGGAAAAGCAGTTTTTGTTGAAACACTGCAGATATGTAACCCCAATCCTACAGATGTTTATCTGTCGACGGGAAACACCAAGTCCATTAAGGCTTAGTGCAATGTGAGTATAGGGGTGCAGACACAAGCAGCCAGATTTTTGACCTAGCTGGATTATTGTAAATATATGAAAACTATTTTAACAGTCACCACACCAGAATGTGGACTGAATGCTTAACAAGAAAATGAGAGAGTGTGACAGAAGAGAGAAAAGCTATGCAATGTACAGTTATTAAGCTGAGTTTACAAAGCTTAATTTTGTTCCAATGACCAGAACACAGGTCAGAATTCCGAGAACCACAGACTTCATTGAAAACAAACAGCAGTTTCAGAAAATTATCTTAAACACAATGTGCCTTGAATACAGGTTCTTCCAAATGGCTATGTAGCTGGACCTGCTGCTCCCAACCCAGAGCCAAAGCTATAAGGGAGAGGGAAATAATGCACCGGTTGCCTATAGCTGCTTGAAGGGATCAGATCCTAGAGAGTAACCGGAAGTGTAGAAGTGGCAGAAAGGAATGGACAGAGGCCCTGAGAGAAGCAGCAGCAGCATAGACAGGGGAGTAAACTGACTAACAGGACATGGGAAGGGAATGGACAGGGCCTCCAGAGCTCTTGGCAAGAGGGACACGGAATCAGGCTGGTTACATGTGCATCAAGTGTCGTCAGATCACCTCCAACTTATGGCAACCTTATGAATGAATTAATGAACATCAGGCAAGCTTAACCTACTAGTTTCAGGAGGACTAGGAAGTCTTGTAAAATGGATCCACTTCTAAGCTGCAATGTGCCTGGGAGTGCCAATTTGTGTACCCTGGAATTATCAGGAGCAAACCAGCCAAAATGAAGAAGTCCTACTGATTTCAGTGGAAGAGATGCTCCTTCCTCTGATACTAACGGGACATAAAGGATTAAACTGTGGCTGGATCGTGCCTATTTCTGTAGTAATACAGACCTGCAATCTCTTCAGATAAGGAGCAACAGGAAGCTGTCCATCACTTGATCCTTAGTTCAAGAAATACTCAGCAGTAATATTTGTCAGGCCGCCTAAGTAGTGACACTAAATTCTACATTCCCTTTAACTCAAGTTCCTATTTAATTTGCGCCTATGTTGTGGGATACACTCAAGAACTGGAATGTATCATTAATACTGCACTACGAAGCTATACATAGTTGACAAAGGCACATAATTAGATCCCTCCCCCACCATTTCTGGAAATATTATAAAAAGACACTCACCTATTTTTAAATCTATCTAGTGCAGCAATACCAAAATAATACATTTTGGATGCAAAAGGCTTTCGTAAGGCTTCAAGAACATAGCGCAAGGCCAGGCCCAGGGCCATATAGGTAACCAGTCCTTTCTCTATTATCCCACCAAACAGGCAGGCTGTTATGTGTAGCTCTTTATCTGGGTACTGGGGGAAAAAGCGATACTCCTCAAACAAGTTCCTCAGCATACAGTTAAATACTTCACGTTCCCGTTTAATGTTGGAGTCTTTAAACCTCTGTAGCATTTCTAACACCTGCAAAGAAATCAGAATGTTACGAAGAGACTCGTTTCCACTGAATCTTTCCACAAAAGGAACTTAAAGCACTTGCACAGCATCACGTTCACTGGGAAAGCCAGGTACATTGTTTGCCAGGAGGAAAAACAACAACCCTGAAGTCTCTAATTTAACTATATGAAGTAAAATAAAAATGTCTGGACATTTAAACAGAAAGGCATTTTACAAGAGCAAAAATACTGCTCTAAGTATAAGCAGGTCTCATGTAAGAGTGTACACTAGACAGACACATTTTATAGCAAAAGAACTGTCTGCTTATTTTGGGAATGCAGAATATTAAAATAATACTTCCTAATAATCCATACATGAGTGGAAAGAAGCCCTTTTATTAAAAAAAAGTGGTGATTTGGTACAATTTACTGATAACTACCAAATCATCCAACATTTAAAACTTAGGAAATGTGCTTCTCTACTAAATACCATCTTATTTTAGAAAGCCCCTAAAGAACTGCTCCCCCAAAGAGAGGCTGCATGATAAAGTAAAATGGGACTGTTCCTGTCACTTCCTGCGTAATAGGGATTTTTTTAAAAAAAGCTATCAATGCTGTTTTAGCCACTATACCCCTAATGCCTCAATACCCAATACTGAAATTACAAAAGCTGTGTGAAATTTGCTTGGGACTGTCTTTAGGAATACAGTAGTTACCTTTCCACTGGACACAGAAATTTCCACTTGCATATTTGTTGTCTGCAACAGTACAGGCATACATTTGGGAACCTTAAATTTAAATTTCCCTTCTACTGCAACCAAACAAAAAGCAATGTTGCAAGCACCTGTTGTCCCAAACTTTGCACAAGACTATAAAGAACTCTAATGAGGGGAAAAACAGCCAGGGGAGAGAGAAAGCACACATGCAAGGGGCAACACACTAGCTCTTCAAAGCTCACCTCATCTACAGACATAGTTGGATGTGGAGGGTGATTATAAATTCGCTGAAAATAACTGTTGGCTTCATCATCAATTTCTTTGCTAAAGTGCTGATTTGCCTCTGGCCATACCTGAGATAAGTCAGCTGTTGGAAAGAAGGGGGGGGGGGGAGCACACAAATAAATCCATGAAATGCTGGAAAGCCACATTTATTCCACAATCCCAAGGGACCAGAAATTGGTTTATATGTTGGTTCAAGTGATTGAGAAGATGCAACCTGTGCATTTTACTGGTCTCAACTCTGCAAGGCAGGAAACCAAGTCTCATGGGCCATAAAAGGGGAGCAGTTTTATTCTTTGGTCCAGCCACCTGAGCTGAACACAGCATGCGTTCACACAGCATGCTGAACACAAACATGCAGACACACTTTCATACAGCTTCAGGACAAGAATGAGATCAGAACCCACCTTTGCTAGATTTACTAGTCGATTATTCTGTATGCTCAAGTTTTGAATTGCAATGAGTGGCGCTAAAATGAGGCCTTGCCAAACGAGAACCCTAGTTGCCCACCCTTCTAATGAAAACACAGTAGTGATAAGGTCTTAGTTTCTGGCTCATCTCCCACAGACTCCCCTCCCTTAGCATCCTCATGCCACACATGGTCCACCATAAGGCCTTTGATGAGCCAAAGTAACCTTGTGCCAGTTGCCTATCTTCACATCTACAGCTTACGCCCACTGCCATGAAATATCCTCAGGAACCCTCTCTAGTAACCATGTCCAGAGGAAGCATTTGAGAAGTTACTGCTTAAAGGCATCACTATCTTGCTATAGGAGCTGCAGTGGCTCAAGTGGTTAAGACACTGAGCTGCAGGCTGTGGAAGGTCAGTAGTTCAGCAGTTCGAGACCCGGGTGCCGCAAGACGGAATGAGCTCCCGTCTTTAGTTCCAGCTCCTGCCAACCTAGCAGTTCGAAAGCAAGAAATTGCAAGTAGCTAAATAGGTACCACTTCGGTGGGAAGGTAACAGCATTCCGTGCGCCTTGGTGTTTAGTCATGCCGGCCACATGACCACAGAAACGTCTTCGGACAGCGCTGGCTCTTCGGCTTTGAAACGGAGATCAGCACCACAACCCTAGAGTCAGATTCGACTGGCTTTCGAGCAAGGGAACCTTTACCTTTTTGTCTTGCTATAAGCTCTTTCTTCTTCACCCCAAAAAGCTTAGCATACTCATCTGTCCCTTATATATAAAGCCGTAGTGGGGCCCAACGTTCCAATGCACACCAACAGTGTTTGGAGGCTTGAACTGTCAGTCAGAAGACGCTGGCTGGGTTGGCTGGCTACTTTGTGTAGTCCCGCCCACGTCAGCCCCGGCCAGCGTGTTCAGCTCAGTCTGCTCTGGGCCTCTGACAGGAGAGGACCATCTGCATACTGAGTGCAGAGACGGGGCTTCTACGGCTGGGCCGCTTCAGTCCACTCTTCTCTGATTGGGCCAGCG